TATGATTTACCATGTAAAGTTTTGGCTGCCACAACCAAATGATTCTTGCTGCTTTGTTTTCTCTCCATCGAAGTTCCTTTTAGTTTAGAAAGTATGACTTCTTCTGTGGTGGGCGCGGGCTGTCGAACAATGGCCTTGAAGACCTTTCCAAATGCTCCTTTTCCAATTTCTTCAAGGAACWTTACATGCACAGCGTCTATTTCCCAGTCTTCTTCAATAGGTGGCGAATCTTGGCAAACTGAAATACTAATGAGTTTCAAAGACGTATTGAATTCGGTGTCCAAATGTATTGGAGAATCGAGCTACGGGAATCAGATACCGCAACTTGTAAAGTTTGAATAATTTAGGAATTTGCTTTGATTTTGTTCAGATGTATTTACAATTGATAGTGTCTATGATTTGTGACGTCACGCTGTTGAATAATTCGATATTTTGTTGTTGGTAGCTGGCTGGCTAACTTGATATTTGGTTTCTTCTAGCATGTGGCTAGTTCACTTATTGATTTGTAATTGAGCGAATTATTTGATTGTGATGTTTCTGCATTTTTTAAATTTATTCGTAGCTTATTTTAGGTTTTTAGAAAATAAGAAACACAAACTTTGTTTTTGTTATATGTAATGTTATTAATTTTTGCGTTATAGTAGTTGGAAATTAAAGGTTTGAAATCGAAATTCACGGCATGTTTTTTTGCAATCGTCTTACTTTGTTGGTCCACTTTGTGTTATCCTGTCCATCTCATASCTTGAGTTATCGGCTGAATAAGGTGCATCAATCCTATAAAGTGATCAAATTCATGCTAGTTAATAGCTCTCGGAGAGTACTATTGTAACTATATTGTTACATCTCTACTTAACTCTGAATAAATTGCAATTGCATGCAGTAATATGTCTTGAAATGTGATGTCAGGCTTACCGGTCATTCTCATTTCTTTGTTTCTTTAACGTTCGCTTAAACAGAACAACTAGAACTACTACAATGATAACAACGATAAAGACGCCAGCACCCAAACCAGTTTTCTCTGCGACACYAAGAACTGAAATTTGAGWATATAGTAGTACAACTCCACCGAATTGACAGTAAATCATAATTATCAATTCATTTATTTAATGCAGTACATTCGTCATTCTGCCATTGTTCATAATTTACCTTCATTAGATTGTTGCTGTGATTGAAGCCTCCCTCGCGCTAATGAAATATAGACAAACATTTTAATCATTTTCAAACAAATATAAAATTAAATGAATGACTTAAGAATTCATCGTTATTACAATTTTTAGCGTAATCTTAATTCTCTGRGTTAGTTAGATCTATTAGTAGTACATTCAAGATCAAAGGAAATGTTTCTACAAAATGGATAGAGGGTAGCCCGACATTAATTTGAATCACCGATAACCCATAAAGTTGCATTCCTCGAGTTAATCTTGCTTTTGTCAATTTGCACTGTTAAGTCCTTTGCCGTTTCGTTTATAGTAAATTAAATTGATCAATGAAGTGCTGAGGTTTTGATTATGTGACTGGGAGGAATACCACACTGCTATGCATCAGGTTATGAAAGAAAATTACTCAAAAGGCTGAAAACCTCTCGCCTCCGCGTCGAGATTTTATTACGCCTTTTCGTGTTCTCCCGCGTGGTGCATTTCACCAGGAAAGCACGAAAATGTATTGTTTATTGCTTTTCTTTATTTAAAAATATTTCAATCAATGTAATTCGATTTACACCTAGGATTATTCAATCTATTTTATAACTTTGGCAATGATTGTAAATAGAACAAGTAATGCCAATAAAGTTTATCTCTATAGCGTTCTACCCAAGACCTATTGCCCAGTGGAACAATCTCCCATAAGAAAAAAAAACCCGGGGTAAGAAAATAACTATGTCACCCTCCTTATCAAGCTTTAAAAAAGCCATCTACAATTTACAGAATGCACAATAATGAAAGCAGTACAAATATTTTTGACTTTGTTATATTATATTACTTTCTATATTATATATTTTTTGTTTGTTTAATGCAGTCTGAAATACTCTTTTAATGGATGAATATATAGGTGGGTTTATGGATGAATACATAAAGTATTATATTTACCGTTATCATTTAGTATCGTAACATCAATTTCTGATTTCTCGGGACGAACATTGCTGCTTTTCGTGTTTAAAAGCATGATCTTAAAGGTTTTATTAGCATTCACCGTTCTGTTGTTGACCACAGTACATACAGTGACATTCTTCACGATTTCGTTGGCTTTGAATTCAATATTGCGAGCGTTCGATCCCTGGCAGTCAGCTTTTGTAGCGGTAATAAAAATGAATCCAATCCTAAGCACAAATCAAACAATTATTCATAAAGCATCGCTAGTTTCCAATCTTATCCATTAACTTGTGCCTTATTTTGTTAAAACTATTTTTTACGTGACTGTTCATTTTAGAACCGCTTGCCCGAAAAGTTTGAAAGACACTATGTCAACAAAGGTCTTTTCGTTAACGTTTAAGGTCTATGTTAGTATAAGTGTCTGAATATAGTCAAAACCAGAGGATAAGTAATTCATTTTAACAAGACAGCATTTGCTGAATCATCAAATATATTCTGTTGGGGACTTATTACTGATTACGTTACAATCCTTCTTCACTCCAACTGAACACCTGTMATAAGAACTGCCTACAGTACGCTCTTCGGATATGGCTTAAATAGGAAGATAAAATCCTAAGCTATTGACAGGACGACCTTCTTCTTATACCGTTCTGGACCTACCTTATAGTAGATGGCTGGGATACTCTACCAAGCCTTCCTATAGCTACACGTAACTCCCGAAAATTCTCTTGTACAGCAAGACTTTTTACGTCATTGAAGAAAAAAGTTGCTACAAATACAGACAGAATATGTAAGTAGAAAAAAAAAAGATTTTGAATTGGTGACATATTTTGTAGATAATCACTAGTCTTACAAGCTATTCGTACAAGAAATGAGGACAAGCGGACATTGAATTCTTCACATCAAAAGATCATTGATGATCAGGTATAATTGATTATTATGACGAGATGATAAGAACAATAAAAGTCAAAGCAGTATATCAGATAAGGAGCGGCTCTTGGTGGAGTACATTGGAATGTGTGGTATACTCACTGTCATCATCGTGAATAGTGACGTCATAGCTTGTTGTTCCATTGAACGTCACACTGTTATCATCACTTTTCAGTGAAATCGTGAAAGTCTTGTTCTCTTCCTCTCCCCACTTGTCATCGATAATAGCAATCTTATGTTCTTTCGTCCTTTCATTGGCCAGAAAGGTTATGACGTCACAACCAGCTGTGATCGATGGGAAATCATACTGTGACTGGCTTGTATCAGCTGTTCGACATAGTCTGTATTGACGAAGAAAATCATATACATATGAGCAACATAGAGAGGTCAAGGAAGTCCCGGCTCCCTACACCCAACAATATCATATCACGGGCTCCATTAAACTATTGACATAAGAGTACAGCTATGGTTAGGGCTATCTATTAGATGACGCCGCTCATTTATAACATTAAATGTTCCTTTTGGGACTTTTTCCAAAAATACTAACCTTAACAAACTTTTAACACCAATGTATCCGACTCGACAGAGGTTGATTATATAGAATCCTGCATTTTCTTGTACATTTGTGTTGTAGGAAGGACAGAAATACACTCGATC